GGGCATACGTAAAATCAAGGTTGGGTGAAATTTGTTGTGACCTTTGACCTAATACATACGCAAGACTCAATAAATATATGTTATGAACAAACGATGTTTACCTAGTCTAGGCCTACAAATAAAACCATGTGTTCATCACTTTACGATGTCATAATAAAGTGTTCAAACAAAACCATGTGTCTGTTTATTTAATTCATCACTTTATATCTTTTATTTAAAACATGAAAATATTGTAAGATTACCTATACAACAAAGGAATTCCCCTGCATGGCTATTCTAAGCAACAGAACTACGTTGTTGTCTGGGCATTCTAACCACGTGCACTGCACTGAACGAACAAAATTATGCATACACAGCTTAGAGTAGAAAATTGGATCAGACAAGTTTTTCACACAAAGTTAAGTAGGAAGGAAATTATTTTGTGCACCGACAGCAGGCCTAGTTCATCTCGCTCAGTCCACATGGTTTTAGATTATATCAGCGCATAATTAGACTCAATCAATATTGCTGTTGAATGAAAATTCTGTGCATATGGTTTGTTTATTGTTACAGTATTAAAATAATAAAGACAAAACTAACAAACCTCCTTTTACATTATGGACCCCTGAAAAGGTCCGTTTGTTTTGAGTATTTTGGGATTCTTTTTATGATGTCATCGTTCGTAGGGAGCGTACGTAAAACTGAGGGTTCGTACAATTGAGGTACATAAAAGTGTGGTTCTGTACTACTACTACTACTACTACTGTATGTGAGAAACAAGATAACATTCATACTAACTACTGACCACAATTCATAATCGTAGACTTTCATAATCTTTAAATTTCTATAAGAATACCATTTTTAAATCTTACCTGTACTTGATCTTTTTTATTTCATTTTCTTCTTCTTCTTTGTATTTATTTAGAATACCTTTTAAGACAGTTTCAGGGAGGTTCACATATTGACCGACCTGAAAAGATACAACGAGAGCAGCTTAGCTCAGTCGGATAAACTAGTGGTAGCCACTGTTTGTGCGCTCAACCGTGGAGATCTCTATGTCCCCGGTTCTATTCCCATCGCTGCCTCTCCTTGTGTTTCAGCTGGAGGGCTGAAAAATCCAAGTTACGATAGCGCACCGTCTTTCAGATGAGACGTTTAAGCCGTTAGTTCCGTGTGCCTTATGGCCCGTATGCACGTTAAAGAACACAATACACTATTCGGTAAATAGAGGATTGTCTCCCGGTGTACTGCCCAAATCACCACCAGAAGGACCAAAATGGAAAGTCTTGAGACTTTTGTGGGTTATCCTTGGTGTGTTTACACCGAATAAATCCATCCATCCATCAAATATTAAATGTCTGATCTCAGGGTGCCTTCAGACAAATAGCGCAAGGAGGGTTTACGTAAGTGAATTAGCTTACACTACAGTATGTCTTACACAACAGACTGGCATGTGTACCAGATTAGCCAACATCAGTAGCAATTTTATTAGGACCAGGCTTTAGAGGACTAATCTAAAAACCTATACAGTCCATTTCAACCTCACATCATGTTAAGACTTTTAACCCTACAGGGGCCCTGCAAAGGATGAGCTTGATATTGTATTCCAAAAACAAAGCCAAAGTAGTAGCCAATTTGCATTTAAGGCTGGAACCAACTGTGAACCATTTTTCACAGCCAGTCCACAATGCAAGCTGAGGTATCTATGCCTGGCCAGAAGTAGACAGCATAAGGCTAGAATTCTCAACTACAAGGTTGAAAAACTGAGCAGCAACCTCTGCGACAACCGCCTCCCTCCATGCATGCATAATATTCTCATTGTCAAGTGTTATGAAATACATGTTGTCATGTCTACCAATAAAAGTAATTTAGTAACTAATATGCTTACTTCAGGGGTTACTTCATCACTGGAACTTAATATGAAGATTTTGGCAACATTCTCATCAGGACCTAGCTTGACCCTTTGGATCAAGGGGTAGTCTGTTGGCTTTAGCTCTGTGGCCTCTGAAAAAGTCAAATTAATTAATCTATTAATGCATTATTATTCTATTAACACATTATTCTATTAATGCATCACATTTTTTCATCTGGCCCTATTAATAAGAATGCACGCTACAAACATTTGTACTACAGATATGTAACAGAAGTTAAGTACGGAGCTGCGAGTTAGTTGGTTCACATCTCTAGTAAAAATAATTCAGAGACCCAACCTGTATCTTTAGTCAGTGAGCCACATAGTTGTTATGCCTCTGCTTACACGAGGCTTGCCATCCCAAAACCAGCCTACTGTCGCTAAATGTTTAACTGAGTAAGTATCATAGAATATGGCAGTATTGCATACTTTAGAGAAGCCGTAACACTTTTACTCATAACTTTGGCAATAATATTAGTTCATTCTCATAAATGACCTATCATTTTAAAGCTTATAATGTGAAGAATAAGAATATATTAAAATATAATACATTTAATATGTTTATGGAAATCCTAGCCCAAAAAAATTTTTAAATATCTTACCCCCACTCTGCCGTAGTACATACAAATGAAAATCTGACGTGGGATCTACAATGCAAAATTTCCTTAATAAAAGATCCAAGACATCTGTAGTTTTCATTAAACTTGAGACTGTTACGCTAGACTGTGTTCCATACTTTGGCCGGAAAATGGACGTCTAAAAGAAACAAAGAAAAAACAAAATCAGATTAAAATTACATAGGGAAACAAAGCTGATTCTTGGCATTTGATTGGGTTTGGCAAGGCTACAAATATCCACATTTGGATTTGCAGTATAAATGGGTGGCTAGTATTTATTGATTTGTATATTTATTTATATCGTCACAATAAATATAAATAGATATTGACCAGGGGCGTGATTAGAGATGATATGGGCTAAAGCCCAACACGACAAGTGGTCATCTCTAAACTTTTGGCCAACAACAATTTAGTGTGCAAGCGTTGGTATCTAATTGGTACTAAGCCAGGCACCTACTGCAAGCCTTGGTATCTAAGTGGTACTAAGCCAGACACTCACTGCAAGCCTTGGTATCTAAGTGGTACTAAGCCAGACACTCACTGCAAGCCTTGGTATCTAAGTGGTACTTAGCCAGACACTCACTGCAAGCCTTGGTATCTAAGTGGTACTAAGCCAGACACTCACTGCAAGCCTTGGTATCTAAGTGGTACTAAGCCAGACACTCACTGCGTAGTGCGACTGTCGCACAATGAATCCAACTCCGCTTTCTGTGAGAGATAGACCATGCGACTCCGTCTGCTCATTGTCAGTGGCAGTCTAAACTTATCGTCATTAAAAACGATCCGCTGCGCGCATCGTCGCATTGCGTTATTTATAGAATCACGTTATTTATAGAATCGCGTCGGCTGACGACCTTCGTGCGCAGTGGGTGCCAGGCATTACTTTCGACCACAAAGTTCAGAACCTGAATGGAAAACACTGAACCAAACTGCGAAAAACTATTTATTCAAGAAGCACAGAAGGCAGCAAACCTTTCGCTTGTACATATGTCCACTAAAAGAGGATGTCCGTCCACTCCTTCTCATGTGCCGACGTCTTTGTACTACTTGTTGCCTTGCAGATTCTTTGTCTTCATTATGATGACCATTCATCTCCTCCTCCTTACCGATGTGTTCTTCTTCATGCTCTTCATCAAAAACATCCCTGTCGTTTTTATCAATTATCAACGAGTTATACATTCGTGCATTCCGATTCGAATCAACACCGTTAGTCTTTTTATGATCACCTACGTTGTCAATCCCTGTTCGTAGACTCATCCGTTTCCAACTTTGATCTTCTTCTTGTTTGAGGTGAATTAGTTTCTGTACTCCCCAATACAAGCGAAGTACACCATGCAACATCATCACACCATTGCTGTCCTTTAAAAGACAAGAGTAAGCTTTATAATACAACAATACTACTATATTTCCTTTAGTGTTAGCTCACCATTCAACACAAAATTGGGCAAATTTTTATGATGGGCTTATACTGTACTAGGGAAATTCTCTTTTCACCGAAAATGAGGCATGTTGTGGCAAAATTGCTAAGTTGTAGCAAAAATTGAAATTCAAGTTATTGATATTTTCAGATACCTGAGTATGTGATCTCTAAAATGAGGGGTCATTCATTGAAATTAGACATTTCAAGTTTTTGAAAGTGAAAGTACAGCACTCTTCAAGTCAAGATAAACATGATTTTGAATAATTGCCTTCCAAAGCTATTTGTGCATACATTGTTTAATAGAATTAACTATCTAAATAACATTAAATAAACGATTTGTTGGCCACTTCCAGAACTAATACTTTGGGACATGATTAATAAGACATTAAACTGTTGAATTATAGTGAAAAAAAATTTAGGATTTTTAGGCAATTTTTTGAGCTCCCATATTTAAAGCTCATTTACTCAATAAATGACATGTGCAACAACTTAACCATTTTGCCACAACATGCCTCAAATGATAACAATTTTTAAGCTGCATACCTGTAAAATAGTATTTTCTATAAAAAAAAATAGCAATCAAAAGAGCAATTTTTTCAACACCAAATGTCAAAACATTGATATAATTTTCTGAAAGTATTCATAAAGTCGACTGAATTGCAAATTTAAACTAGACCATAGGTTTTTGCCCAGAAAAAACAGACTTGCATCCAACGTCGGCCTATATGCAAGAAACTATGGTACTGCAACAAACTGGAGTAACTCAAATAGTCCAGGTTATTATTATTTAGGGCATGCTCACTACAAGTGCCAGTTAATTGTTTATTTTTCATCCTATGTTCTTTTTTGAGCATTGCCCTCTTACATTTAATCTAATCCACTTTACACTTGTAATTCAATATCATTGGATTGCATTTTTCTTTGGAAGAAATACAGTATATTTATTTATCTGATTAAATTAAAAATTTGGCCTTTGACACTTGGAAATGGCGGACGCTCCGGAGTAACCCCTAGCAATGAATTTGACAGTACATTGGGAAGGAATGGAAAAGCGCACCACCGAGCAATTTGCAGTTCCAGGATTCGTTCCATGAGACATTGTTAGAAAAATAAAATATTTTTTCTTTCTCTAGATAACCAATGTTGGGATATACTGTATATAGTGTACAGAGGCAGTAGCTATTTTTGGGTCAACAAGATTTCAGCAAAACAAGCCAGTGGCCTTGTGGATAAGAATCTGTTTAATAAGCAGAAGGCCAGGGTTTTTTCGCCAATTAGGTTGATATATTTTCAATTTCTTAATTTCCTCATCATCAAGAAAGTGAACTTAGTGAAAGGAAGGAGAGAAAGATAGACTTTGTATAATAGAAATTTGTATATAGCAGAACTTTTAAGGCAAAATACTTGCTATTTCTTTTAAACTGTGAGCTGAATACTTTGAACTTGGAAGTCCATAATATAGTATCAGTACCATCCATGGTACCAATATCACAATATGGTACCAGTACAGACCAATGGTACCAATATCACAATATGGTACCAGTACAGACCAATGGTACCAGTATCAATATATGGTACCAGTACAGACCAATGGTACCAGTATCAATATATGGTACTAGTACAGACCAATGGTACCAGTATCAATATATGGTACCAGTACAGACCAATGGTACCAGTATCAATATACAGTATGGTACCAGTGCAGACCAATGGTACCAGTATCAAAATATGGTACCAGTGCAGGCCAATGGTTCCAATATCACAATTAGTACAGTAATGCAAGTTTATAGACTGAAGATATCAGTATCATATAGAGTACCATGACAGTAGTGTCACATTATGGTACAAATATCAATACGGTACAGGTACAGACCTCCAGTACCTACCTCTGTAACAGTTAGTGGTGTACATGTCAGCAGATTTGATTGGTACTGTTGGTACAGCTTCAACTGAGATGAAAATATTGAGCTGGGAAAGTGAAGAAGATGCCAAATATAATAAATTACATAAAATGATATTAATGATATCAATTTTTTATTTCTCCTGTAATTGTTTCCCTTACCGTATGTAAGTCAGCTGGCCATATGTACACCACATTCAAATTTTCTTTGACAAAATACTGTTGTATACCCACATATAGTCATGATGTGCCTATATATGGTCATGAAATGATGTCATCATCAACATATAAAATTTAATAGTCTGGACAGAGCTTTAGAACTGTGTTAAAAGAACTCATTACTACAGTGACCTCTCCCAACGCCTGACCTCTGGAATAAATATATCCTAATCCTTATGTTTCCACACATTACCCCATGATCCTGTAATTTCACTTGCCCCATCCCCAAAATTAAATAACTATTTATCTCTTACCTGCTTACTAAATCCTTGTACTTCTGTTCCATAATGAAATCACCAGAATGCTTCATCAGTACATCATCGTTATTCCATCTGTAAACAAAAATACGAACAATTTATTTTGTAGATGATGTAAGAACAATCTCAGTAGTAGCGCTACTGCTCACTTGGTTTTTCAACAAGTACAAGATACAAGATAAAAATTTCTTTATATTTACATTTTAATAAATATTATTATAATTATCATCATCCTCCTCATTTCCTTATTTTTATCATTATTTTTACTACTAATTTCCTCTTTATTTCATGTACTTAAAAAAAGTTTTGTATACTGAAAAACTTTGTGCACTAAATCCCCCCAAAGTATGACAATAATAGGGGTTTCAAATGCTTACATAATCGATTTTAGAGTCTCCTATTATGTAGAAAATACTACTGTAGCCCCCACCCCCGTCCAATCACGTAGCATCGCCACTGGACACTCTTAATTCAGGAACAAGTCAATGAACATGATGATTATAAAGAATGAGTTTATATAGTTTTTCTTTTGATTTTTAGTCGTCAGCAAAAATGAGCAATCAATTAATTTTCAGACCGGATTACGACATCATAAAATCACTGCCATGTAACCGGTACATCATATTTCAGACTACTGTGTATAGCATCCTCTGTTGATGGATGCAACGGCAATGAAAATTTTAACAAATTAACATTTGAGAGTTAACACCAAAAACTGACAGCGGAAGAGCATCCTTCGAACTATATTGTCATAATTACCATATTTGTTAGTCATAATTGTGATTTACTATACATTATTAAATTTCTGCAAATAAGTTTGTGGGTTTGTTTGATCATTAGCTAATTTATTTGAGTCCTTGATTTGAACTTGGGTTTTTCCAAACCATCATGCCACCTTGAAGTGCATATCGTCACTTCCTTGCTGGCAGGTACTGTAGCAAATAACCATAGTTGTATCTGTGATTTAAGTTTTACACTGAAAGTAATTACTTGTATTCATAAGCCTGCTAATAAAATGTCTTGGAGACTAAAATTGGGTTGCGGCCCATAGTTTGTGAATTGTCGGTATAGCCTTTACTACCACTGTACACATGTTCTCCATTGTTTATCTAAAAATACAAGTGGGGCTAAAGCATATTAGGTCCTGTGTAAGAATAGTACTGTATGCTATATAGCTTCTTTATTTAGATAATATACATTAAAATACAAACAATGAGTCAAAACTGTACGAATGATGGCATTAAATATATCGCACTTTGTTATGAAGGAAATGGTAAGATGAAAATCTAGGAAATGGTGGAAGCAATAACTATCACTAAAAACATTAACATTCATATTTCACTGTCGTAACTCAATAAAGCCGGTAAGGGAAATCATTTGCGCGAATTGAAAGTGTCGGTACATGCACATTCACAATTCTATCGGAGCTTTTCACTTCAGCGAAATCAGTAGTTCAAACTGCTCCTACTTTTTAAAAATGCGCAACCAATCAGAGCTTAGGAAGCAAACCGACGCTTTCGGTTTACGTGAATAAATTCGCCTATTTAACACTTCATACATGATTTTAAACTCCCGACACATAGAGATAGAACAATGCGTTTTAATTAGACCAATTTTAACAAAAACGATGACGTACAACATTATTATGCTGCTGTATTTAACAATATCATGTTCTTCATTTGGAACACTTAATTGATACTCTGTAGGCTCTGTAGTAGTTTCTTCATAGATAATCACTATGTATCTATCTATGCTCATGATAATGATCTTAATAAAATACTTAACAGAAAAAATATATTTAATTTACTTCACAAAATATACAGGATTTTTTGTGGTAGTGGTTGGGCTCGGTGGGAATGGTTTGGTTTCCCAACCTCAAGGTCAAGACTTCACAAGTACAAGCAACAATACTAGTTATAATAAAAAATCATCCTTCAATTTAAAAGAAGCTCTCTAATTTGATTGGATATCAAGCTTTGATAGTGGAGGCAGAGAGCAACTAGCTCAGTCGACTAAGCTGGTGGTAGCCGCTGTGTGTGCACTGAACCGTGGAGATCTGTAGGTTCCTGGTTCAATTCCCATCGCTGCCTCTCCTGTGTTCCAGCTAGAGGGCTGTAATGCAAGTTACAATAGCACACCGTCTTCGGATGAGACGTTTAAGCTGTTGGTCCCATGTGCATTATAGCCCATTTGTTAAAGAACGCAGTACACTCTTCGGAAAAGAGTAGGGGATTGTCTCCGGTGTAGGCCTACCCCGTATTGCCCAAATCACAACCAGAAGGACCCCACCGGAAACAAACCTTCAGACTTAGTGGGTTATCCTAGGTGTGATTCACACTAAGAATACTTCTCCCGAGGAGCAATTGCCATTGCTGGAGGAAGCACAATCATATGGGATACACTACTTCTTTTTTTTTAATAAGAAACAGTAACATTTTTTACCCAGGCTCAATGTTCTTATTTTTTGGCCGATTTCAGATTCAAAATATTCTTATTTTGTTCTTACTTTAAACACTTTTCAAACATAGAAAATTATTATTGTACAGCAGTAAACTACTATACTGGAATGTAGATAAAAATGGCCCCTGAAAAAATCCCCGGACAAAAATTCCCCAGAAAAAAGGCCTCATAATAATGGCCCAAAATGACAGTACCTACTGTACTATATTACTGTATAGAGGGTATTACATAGTCACACCTAATGCACATAACGTACAGATATAATTTTTCGGTTTTCCTACTTAAAAAAAAAATAAAAATTTCATTTGACATCTTTACCTAAGCCTCAATTTTTACTTATTTTGCCTCATTTGACAATTTACCTCAACCTCAATTTGTTCTTGTTTTGTTCTTAATTTTTAAGCAATTTCAGCCTCTGTGTTCTTAAAAAATGTGTTCTTATTTAAAAAAAAAGTGTAAGAATTCTACAGGCTTATTTATCAGCATATTCATCCATTCATGGAGGTATAAAAATTTATATATTTTTATACCGCCATGATCCATTGAACTGTACAACGCAAATGTGTCATTCTAATCTAATTTTTAAATTGAAATCTAATAACTTAATACTGTATTAATGATAAAACAGTAATATATTACATTAGCAATTGATGATTAATAAAAAAAAATCTAATTAATTAATTTAATAATTTAGGCTTCTTAATAAACTAGTAAGCAATTCGGATATTGAATTATATTTTTTGATTTATTTAGCATATTACAATCTATAAATTCAATAATACTGAGTAAACAATATGAAGGAATGAAATAATGATCGAGCTGAAAAAATGAATGAACAATAATGAATGGATATACTGAACAAAATAATGAATGTATGATGAAACAAATAAATAAATGGAATATATGTAATGAATAAATTAAAAAAACAATATAAAATATTAAAATAAATGCATTATATGAAAAGGCTGGTTGGTATTGAAAGTCCTACTTATGTAGGCTTATTAATTTTATTGATGGATGTATTGAATGAATAATTTTACTGTTGTATTTATAATATATTGATGAATAAAAGTGCTGGCCACAAAATACAAAAAAATAAGAAATAATACAACTGCTTTAATAATGTTTACACAACAATTATTGGGTGAACCCGTGTGAAAATAACAGATAATGATTACAACTGCAATAGTCAAGGATCATACGCAGAAAACCTCATTTCCTCAGAAATTAATCTTATTATAAATGACCCAGAAAATGAAAATAATTCCTCATAGCCTTGGTGAAGAAAAACTGAAATTCATGAACAAAAACACTCATATGATATGAACTTACTGACTGTATATTCATGGCAGAGACAGAGGGATGTAAGGACCCTTGAGTGGACAAGCACAGACCCCTGCCTTTGCAACATCAGCAAGACAAACATCCATACAGCTAAAATCATAGCTTGCATATACAGTAAGTGTTTTATATACATCTTTCGTGTCACACTTCCAAAATTCCAAAACCGAAAAAAAAAAGCCTAAATCATTAACACAAAATAATGTTTAATGATAAAAACTCTTATAAGCAATTTGTATTTAAAGAACCTCTGATAGTGAAAATCGTAAATAATTTTTAAATTAACTTAATACCCGAGAACACAGACATTTTTGTATTTATAATGATGTGTACCCTGATTTTTAAACTGGATTTATAATAAAAAATAATTTAACATTTCCTGTGAATGGAAGTGTTTTTCCTATTTTTCGTCATAAAATTTATGGGTAAAGCATTTTCTAAATATGTCAATTTTTATGTTCAAATTTAGAATTTTTTTATTACTTCAAAAATGAGCAAGTCAATTTCAAATTAATATATTATAAAGTAGGATACTTCTATTTCATAGTGTAAATTACTCACTACCAGTATAAATTCTATAGTAGGCCTATTTACAAGATTTTACATTTACTTACTCACTCACTACCACCACTAAAACCAATATAAAATGTGATGGTATTGTTAATAATATATCCATGTACAAAATAAACAATCAAACAAAGACAAGTAATAAACATCATAGTAAAGGTAAACCAATCATGAAAACATTACAAATGATGGTGCTTTTTCTTATTTTTTACTTGATTTTTGTAATTCCTGTTTTAATTTTGATTTCATTTTTTATTAGTTTACATTTCGAAAATTTAAGCTCATACTGTAGTTAACAACTTTTTGAGTTATGCTACTGACTTTCCTTTTTTTTGCATTCCTGGTTAATTTGCTTTTCTTAAAAAACCGAAAGGTCCACTGATTAATCTCAGATAAGAAAGTATAATACATACTCCAAGTATTGATTTTCTTTATATGATTTGTTTTTGTATTGGTTGTTACTTTTGTATCTTAGTTGTTATTGTTGTTAGATCGCACCACAAGAGTTGTGTGTGCCACCGTTCTAAAGGTGAAGTGTCAATAAATAAATAAAATAAAAAATAAAATTACAAATGAAAAGGTCTAACCACAGTGAGTTCATAAACAAATGAAATAGTCTCTGGCCAAGTGATATTGTTGAAGGCTGTAGGTATCTAAAACTTAGTAAAATGGTCAGATCTATAGGAATAACTAAAATTTGAATTGATTTTCCCAATGACATGTTGTAATGTACTGTAGAAATCAAGTACAGTAGTATACAGTACATGCTAACATACATTTAACCAATTAAAATTAAGATTTACAACAATATTGAAAAATTGGTAACTATGGTGCATCAAGAGTTACTCTGACTTGCTACAAAATAATAAATTAATTATTCTCAGTACAATATTGTACTAATTTACTTACAAGTTATATAAAATTATTAAATTATATAATTAAAATGACTTTCCTTAGAATACTACATGAAAGGTTATGGTCTACCAGTTTACTATGTAAGTATTGCAAATCTATGACTACAATTCTAGTAACTTAAATAAGTTTAATATACAGTATAAACAATTAAATGACTTACAATATCATGGTATAAAGAAAGCATCCATAGCAAGAATGATGACAGGAAGTGTTTAAAAGTTCGGAAACAACACTGAGGGCTCTTTTTTATGATAATCGCAAGAGGTTGTGATCAATTTTCAAAGATCCCGTGAACAGGATATAGCAGTCTTTTCAAGTGCATGTTTAAATAGAACAGAGTTCATTTACCTCTAACTCATAATCATCTAGCCGCAAAGGAAAATGGACTTTCAATAAACTTTTGAAGATTGAACTGCCATGCACAACAGGGGCAGGCTTAAAAACTCAATTTAATTTTAATATTACTTTGTGCTGAGCTAATTTATAGTTTTATTATCAAATCTAATATTTAGTTTCCCATTCTATTTTAGGAAATTGCAATATCTACAGTATATTAACTATGCAATACTTTGATTCAAATATACAATTATATTGAGAAAATCTTTTCTAGACTATTAAATATATTTGATAACAATAATAAATAAGTTCTACTTATTTGCTGGCAAAAATATAAAAGTTCTTACAATCAAAGACACACATGCTCAATGAATGTTGTCTAATCCGAAGAACAATTAATTGTTTTTTTGTTATTTCATCATAGACAAATAAAGATTACTTTTATTCCAAATATAAACAATATTTTTACAGTAGTAATTGTATATTAATATATAAAATATATATAAATGGGGATTTCAAAAAAAAATAAAAGGAAACATAGTACTCTCTAGACATGGCCAAAATATATTCAAAAGAATAACACGCACAAAGGAGAAACATACTCACTGCTGGTATGACAAAGTTGCTTCTTTTGTCAAGATAACTATTTTAATGGGCACCACCAAGTACATACGGTAATCCCAAATGCATATAATAAAACACAAAATTTAAATAAATTTAAAATTATTAAATACTGTACCACTTCTGAATCACCACCACCTGTGTCAATAATAAAAAAGAATAGAGTCTGCAAGTTTCTTTGGTCCTGGCCCATAGGGAAAAACCTTAAAGGCTGAGTATTCCTGTCCAATTGAGTTGATGTCTTAAATAATTAAAGCATGGAGGTACAAAAATAGCAAGCTTCTTGCAGCCCATTGTACTTTCTGATTGGTTCACAATAGACAATACAGTGGATTGAAATGCACTTCAGTATTGTTATGCAACTGAATCTCAATCAACCAACCATACATAGAGAGGTCATCTATTTTTCACTCACTTAATTATCTATCTCCCCACTTCCCTATCCCCCACATCATCCCCTTCCCCTTTTCAAGACTCTTAGCTAAGAGGGAGGAATACTGTATCTCAAAAAGTTTGTTTCATAATCTTTAGAAAATGCTCAACCCTTAACAACCCTTAACAACCCTTAACAACAATACTCAGAAAAATATATTGTAGTATTCACTGGGTAACAGTTAGTTACTGTAGGTCTGTAACCAGCGGGATTTTTGGGATTCGGCCGAGCCTACCCACCGCCCCCCCCCCCAACCAAAACTTTTTTTACAGTTTACTACTGTAGTTGTACTTTATCATAACCTTTTTCTATCAAAGAAACACTTCTGAGTTTGTTAAACTTGACTTAATATAGAAAACCCCCCTCCACATTTACCTGGTTGCAGGCCTTATTAGACTGAGTATAATTGGTAAAGTATACAGTGTTGGCCCAAACTGAGGTAGTGTAGAAATGCTGGTACTACCACTCCTTGGTACTACTGTACTGCCTGTTAGTACTGATTTAGTCAAAGTCACAATAGTTTTACTATTTTATTAGTTCCATATCTAAAACTCCTATCGGATAAGCTCATGTATGGATATCCTTACAGGTACTACTGTAATACTCCTACCTAGAGAGTTTTTCATTTAAACCACAGGATGTGAGTAGGCCTACCATTGGTTCATACACCGGGATCAACCACAACCAGCACCACCACTTATCTTCACTCTAATTTTGGGGTTCAACAACCACATGGTTCATGTGAGGTCTTTCTTTTACCAATGATGATGTAATTTATTATTTATTTACTTCAAAAAATGTATATGCTGATAAACATTTTATTTTTAAATGCTAAATTATATCTGACATTATTTTTGCATTGTATTTTGCATGCATGCTATTTTGTAGAGTATCATTATTGGTACTGTAACTGTATCAGTTCTTTACTTTCTTGGTGTATCACCTATATTAATCACTTAGAATGTATAAACCTTTTTACCAATCTACTACAGTTCTCCAAGTAAACTTCCACTTCACTGAACACAAAATCAGCCCGATTTTGGGGAATGGGCTTGCACCAGGGGAATCCTCATTTTTAATCAAAAGGCAATTTTTCAGCAATGCTTGCCTAATCCAAAACTAATATTTTATTTTATTTGTCATTCAGATAGTAGTCTGGGCTTTTACAAGATACAAGATTCTTTTATTGTCACTGGTACGTAAAACAAGTAAAATTCGTCTTCCCGATGCAAAAATAAAATTAGTATAAAAGTTAAACATATAATAAAAAATTAATCAAGGACATAAATAAAACAGAAAATACAAAATGATACAATTATTTACAAGGGTTAGTTTCTGAAGTTTTGCATGAGAAAAGGCTGATAAGTAAAATTTGGCATAAAATAGCAAGGAAGGGTGGGCTTATATCAGAGGGAGGGCTTATACAAGAGGAACTTCAGTATTCGTCTGTCATCTAATCATCTCCCTGAATCTATTCGACTGTCTGTCTATGACTATATCAACCTCTACCATTACAGTGTACAGTATCATTATAGTTTTACTTTAGATAGCTATCTATAATAAAGAATATTGAATAAATGACCATAATAGACATACTGTACTGTAATCCAATTTTGAAAACAAACTATTTTATCATGAGAAAATCTTGTTTCATTTAACTTTATAATTGAGTTCCTACAGTTTTGATTATCAATAGAAAATGAATAAGAGTAATTTTTAAAATTCTTATAGTGCCAAGATTAACAAAATAACGAAACATATTTCTATAGATTGTACATGTTGTCTTGTTAGTTTCAAATTGCGTATAATATTGTTTGAGGGCTTCCTTAAATTATCTTGCCAAAAATAATATGTATTGTTAAAACAAATGCTATGATGCAACACTGTTCTAATGTTTGCGAAAGATTTCTTTCATTTTTTAGTATACTGAGCTTGTGCAGATATATATTCTATGCTGTGGTAGTGGAATTTTTCTGTAAAATGGAATGTGCCAAGGTTCATTTCAATTGACAGGCATGCCAAGTACAGTGTGTTGACAGATGATCAGTGGCTGATAGCACCATGTCCAATAATAAACTATGTTAAGAGTAATTTTGACCCAGTTTCTGCATACTCATGCTCCAATCAGAGCCTAGACGCAGGGTTCCCGGAACGCCACCCTCAGCGGCGAGTGCGAAGCACAACTCAGGGTCAAAAGTGGAACGTGAAATTTGGATATGGTTTTGTAGTCAGATTTGCGAGAAAAACTTGAGACGTCAGTGGGAGCTGTAATTTGTATGGCAAGGAGATTGAGCAACCCTTCATTCTGTCTCTTATACACATCTAGATGTGTATAAGAGACAGTCGCAGCACTTCACTTGAAATTTGCAATTTCTAGTATTATTAACTTACAATTGAATTGAAACCCCAATACCTGTCTCTTATACACATCTAGATGTGTATAAGAGACAGCAATACAAATCAATACAAATAAATCGAAACTGTAATTCCCATTCTACCTTTCAAAATCGCCTACAAGTTGTGACATGTTTTTGATCGTTTCAAAGTAAGAGGTTAACATTTCGTCTATATTAACATTAGATCGTTGAGACCTAAGCTGTCAGAGCTCCGTTTATTTGCATCACGATACAGCTGTCGTTATTGGCTTCTCCGCAACCTGGCTCGGTGGTCGGTCCCGGATTCTCAAGTGAAAATCGAAGGCTAGGGCCTACGTTATTCAACGTAAAGACCTATCTATGGGGTAGTGTCTGCATATTAGAGACGATTTTTCCTTCAACTGTAATGTTTATCAAGATAATATTGAGCTTGTGAGGACTGGTCTGTGCTGTCCACTCCACCATTAGATCGGACTGTGAATCATTTCATTTTCCCTTGGGGATAGTAACAAGGCCCGTACGTAGGGGGTGCGACGGGAAGTGGGGGCGTACGGGCAGTGGTGGTGCTAGGGGGGTTGGCAGGGCTACAGCCTCCCCCCCCCCCCCCGTCGGGTAGG